AGAGTATCACACACTAGCAACTGGCTTAGTACCTTGGAGATCTCAATGTAGGCACTGACTTCCACACCAGGACTTTGAACACAAGGCACTCCTTCTTTGAGTCAAGCAGCAATTAGCACAGTAAATGCGGTGGGATTTTTGTATCATACCCCCAATTTATCACACCTATACAACCCCTCAGACCCTTTGAACAGTCTTGCTCTCATCTCAAAATGTCAGAATTATTAAGTAATACTTGAGAGGAAAAAAAGAATTGTCAAAGAGATCAAACTGAAAAACAAACAGCTTTTCCATCCTAAGAACTTCAAGCTGTTGCAGAACTCAACAGGAAATGGGGTAATCAATAATGTGCGCTTTCCTGGCATTTCACATTTTAAGCCATTAAATGCACCATTAGTGCTTCAAATGCTAAAGGCAGCACTCCACCACTGCGAGTGCTGTCACTAGCAGCTAAGTGAAGTGAAATGAAGAGCTGGGTTATGCACAGCAAACATATTTTAAGCTGTGTGCCATTTGAACACGTTTTTTTCATGTTTACTTGATCTTGCAGAGAACAGCCATGCTTCTTGCATGGATTCATGGAGCAAGACTACTGAACGTAACCATGTTCCAAAGTTACAGGGATCTCAAAACCAAGTCCTGGAGGGTCTAGAAGCATCTGCTTTCATTCCAATTTGAAAAGCCAAATAAATGTTTTAACCTATGATTAAAGAGCACATATATAGCAACAGCTTTGTAGTCTGTGAAAAATGTTAAATTCCACTCAGGACCCCTATGAAAAATAAAGGTTAGTGACCGATGGCTTCCCAAGGTGAGTTAACAGTTTGCTATGCACTGAAAAAGGCCCAAGCACCTGCCTAGGCTATTGTACAGTTAATTACAGCATAACATAACTTACTGTAATATTTCCGTGTGTTACTGGGCCTTTCATATACAGTAGGTGATTATACGATGATCACGGGGGTACACGGTTTTAACTGCAATAAGATTCTTTTTTCATCCGTAAGGCCCTTAGACCGGAGATGTTGAGAGTAATTACAGGTCAATGTTTGAACATTTATAACATTTCTCTCTCTTCCCCGCCCCC